CCTGCTGCTGCTGGCTGGTGTTTGCTGCTTCCTGCTGCTGCTGCTGCTTGCTGCTGCTGCTTGCTGCTGCTGCTCACTGCTGCTGCTGACTGTTGCCTTCTGCTGCTTGCTGCTGATTGATGCATTATTCTGCCTGCTGCTTATGCTGCTGCTGCTGCTGCTGCTGCTGTTGCTGATTGATGCATTCTGCTGCTTGCTGTTGCTGCTGCTGCTGTGGTGTATAGCAGCAAGCAGACAGCAGCAGCCTAACAGCAGATGCCTGTCTGTCTGCATACACCCCATTTATTAATTTATGTATTTGTTTGTGGTGTACATACACCTCAATTATTAATTTATTTTGTTTGCGGTGTACATACACCTCATTTATTTGTCTTTATTGATGGGCTCTGCTTCTACTGACAATAACAACAACCCCACCAAAATAACAACGTTCCTCTTTTGCTGCAGCTCTGCTGCTTATGCTGCTGCTGATGCTGATGCTTCTGCTGCTGCTTCTACTACTGTTGCTGCTGCTGTTGCTGCTACGGGTGCTGCTGCTGCTGCTTCTACTGCTGTTGCTGCTGTCGCTGCTGCTGTTGCTGCTACGGGTGCTGCGGCTGCTGCTTCTGCTGCTGCTGTTGTTGCTGCCACGGTTGCTGCTGTTGCTGCTACTGCTGCTTCTGCTGGAGAGTTAAAATGCTGGCCAGGCGTTTGCAGCAGCAGAGACAGCAGCAGCAGCAGCAACAACAGAGACAATAGAAACAACGGAGACAGCAAGGAGACAGCAAAGAGACAGCAGAGATACAGCAGAAGCAATAAGGAGACAGGGGAGACAAAAACAGAGAGAAAACGAAGACAACAGAAAAAAAGCAAAGACAGCAGAGAAAAAGCAAAGACAACGGCCTGACTCTGCTGTCTCTGCTGTTTCTTCTTTGTCTCTGTTGTTTCTGTGTCTCTGCTGTCTTTGTTGTCTCCTCTGTCTTTCTGTTCTTTTTTTTTTTCTTTTTTCTTTTTTTCTGTCTTTGCTGTCTCTGCTGTCTTTGCTGTCTCTGGTGTATCCCCTGTCTCTGTCTTTTGCCTCTTTATGCTGTCTTTGTTGTCTCTGTCTTTCTGCTGCTGCTGTCTTTCTGCTGCTGCTGTCTCTCTGCTGCTGCTGTCTTTCTGCTGCTGCTGTCTCTCTGCTGCTGCTGTCTCTCTGTTGCTGCTGTCTCTCTGTGCTGCTGTATCTCTCTGCTGCTGCTATCTCTCTGCTGCTGCTGTCTCTCTGCTGCAGCTCTGTCTATCTCTGGTGTCTCCACTGTCTGCGTTGTCTGTGTATGTTTATGCTGTCTGTGTCTGTGTCTTTGCTGCTGTGTCTGTGCTGGCTGCTGCTGCCATCTGCATTTATTTTTTTTGTTTCTTTTTGTTTTTTCCTATATATTATAATAATAATAAAAATAAAAAAAATAAAAATAAAAATAATAATAACAATTATTATTATTATGTTGTTGTTGCAATAAAAAAAAAAGAAAAGAGAGACAAAGGCAGACAAGGCCACAGAGACAAAACCCAGCAGCACAAACACAGCAACGACTGCTGCTGCTGCTGCTGCTGCAAATCATAAGGCGCTGCCAGAGAGGCATGAGGCCGCGGATGCTGCTGT